TTTCTGTCGCTGTCCGGATTTGAACCCGAGACCTGTTGAATGAGAGGCGAACACTTTGACCTCTTGACCATGAGAGACCCCAAATTATGTGGACCCTATTTTTCAACTTGGGGAGAGAGAGAGAGAGAGAGAGAGAGAGAGAGAGAGAGAAAGAGAGGGGAAGGGAGTAGAAGTGTGAGTTACTGTGCATTTGTTTGGTTCCAGTTTTACATTATAACCATTACAACCAGTTAATTTTAATTAAGAACATTGTTAAAATCCAGGATTAGAACCACCCCCCCTCCCCCCACCCTCTTATTCTCATCTTAACTTCCTCCGTCACCTACTGTACGAAAAAAAAGAGGGAACGTAAAGCAGTAGGACCTACCAGTGGTGCCCTCTCTAACCACCTGCAAGGGGGGAAACGGTAGCAAGACTTTTAACGACTTCAGCAGTATAAGAAACTTCTCTTATTATTTATTATTTTTCAATGTTAATTTTTAAAAATTATAAAAATACACAAGCACAAGATAAGAATGGTGTTCCATATATGAAAAATAATCAAATTCATAAAACTTAACATTTTATTTTAATAATACCCTTCTCAACCACGAATGCAACATGGATACAAGTGAAACAGGGGAGGTAACTAAATAAATATTTTTCCTTCATCAATTCATATCAGACCAGTCAGTTACTACTCTTATATTTATACTTATAAAAATTATAACTATGATACCCGAAGGCCGCAGGCAAAATGTTATAAGTTATAGTATCAATTTTACATTATAACTTTAAAAAAGAGTGTTTTCAAATAGCAAAACAGTAGTCTGGATCCATAGAGATATATTATTTTCTTGAAATTATATCATTATCATGTGCAATTAGTGTCTATTTGAAACAAAACAAAAATCAATAAATAACAATAAAAACGACTAAATAAGCTCTTTGATAAGTTGGACTACATTAATTAGGCCCTCCTTTTACCTATCCTTCAATATGGCCTGTAAAAAGAAACCAGTCTTGACATAGATTTGGAGATGCAAATCATTGAGACAGGCCAGATGGACACAATGAGAAAACTAAGAAAAAAAACTACATGATGTAGGCCCTACTTCTACGGAAAGGAAAGAGAGCGAGAGAGGAGTGGATAGGGTGAGGCATATCATACATATGTACAGTTGGGTACAGATTACTCCAACACGGAAAACTCAATATCAAGACTGATTCATGATGTCTCTTCAAATTTTCATTATATTGGTTGACCCGAATTATGGATGGGTTGGAACACATTTGTCAATCCCTGACATATTTGAGTCATCTATGCCTGACACTGACAGTAGTATATATATATTCCACAAGTTGACAACATAAGCAAAGTGGTTGAAGAGTATCAAACTGTGGTGTAAAAAAACCCAGAGGAAAAGCAGATCACCCTGACGAGGGAATGTTGGCCAATGTTAAAACGTCTTTTAAAAAAAATTAAGTCAACATCCTAGAAAAGAATTAGGTCTGGTTGTGAACATGACCAGGGAAATAAAAGGCTTAACCTCAGACTGATAATTCTTAGCAGCAGCTACAAAGAAGTGTTGCTCTTGGGGCCCCTTTTACTGTTCAAGAGGTAGTAACAATTTTTTTTAAAACTCTTTCTTTTCCATTCCTAATAATAGTTTGGTCACGGCTGCAGAAAAGAATTTATCTGAACCATATTGGCACGGTAACTCTTCTCTCAAAAACTGATCACACACATGATGTATCAACTCCCATGGGAATAGAGTCAATCTCCATTCTGCAAAATGGTTTATCAGATCACTTTAAATTAAATTAAATGCCTTCTTCCAAAGGCAATCTTTATTATTGTGGCATCAGTGGTCTTGATCTAGTGGTTAGGCTCCCAAACCCTAAAACCCAAGGTCGGTCACCATTAGGGGCCCAACTTTGCATCATTGGCAAAGGCACTTTACACGAATTTTCCTAATTTTATCAAGGTTGAAATGGGTACACAGCTATAGACTGTGAAAGGTCTTGTCAATTTGAGGACGTTTTAGTACGAGCAATCCGCAGCTTCAACTCACTGAACGCTTCATGGGCGGGTGAGAATGTTTCTGAATCCTCTTCTATGGTCTGCTAGGACAATAAAAGTTGCAAAACACTAAGAGCATGCTGCAGAGCATGCATACAGTCGAAACTGTCTGCCACAGCCACCCATTGTTGAGGAAAAAAATGGCCGTATTAGAAAGTTGACTCAAGTGACTGTCTCACAATATGTCATTAAATTACAATTGAAAAAATATGAAAGGGAGAAATTCCTGTTCAAGAGTTAATTTGATCTATAAACCTATAGATTTTTTTGAAAAAAAGAGATGCACAAAAACACAAAATAAGGTTACTTAGTTTAGAAAAAAAGCAAGGCAAAAAGACAGAAACAAAAAAGGGAAAGAAAAGGACCAGACCAGACCATCAATGATTTATTTATAGAGGCACCAGTACCCAGCAGAGGCATCCTCTAAACTCTAAAGACCTATGATAAGATTAAGAGTTGGGAGGCTTGCACTTCATTCATGTACTTGGACAACAACGTACAAAAAACATTGAAGAAAATTTGAAATTCACATGCATAAACTGTTTTTCACAAAAAGAACAAAACTATTAATATTCCATTCATATAAAGAGGGAGAAGAGAGCTAAACAAAGAAAAAAAAGGGAGAGAGAAAGACAAAGGGACAGAGACAGTGAGGAAAAGACAGAAAGAGAAAACAAGAGAGGGACAGAGAGATTGACAGACAAACAAACTTTGTGAGCAGAGAGAAGGCGTTCATAGTCATAGATGAGAAAAAAGCAGTAAACGATATATATCGAAGTCACTGCTTTCATGTCAAGAAAACAAAAATGTGATATATATACTAAATTAATGTATTCATGATAATGTTCATTTTGATCAGAGCCCCTTTATATTATAGTACGACAAGCAGCAGAAAATCTGACTGTGACATCAGGACATTGGCAGTTATTGATCGAATTGATTCATAAAATTTCAACACATGCATACATAATTTCTCTTTCAAAAAGGAAAAGAACCGGATTACAATGTACAATGTACGCATGAAAGAAACAACAGGATGTTCTGTACTGAACAACACTTAAATCATAGAATCTAGAGAGGAATTACAGAACAAAAGGATGTCTTTAAAAATATAATGATGTGCCCAAAATAAACATTACAATAACAAGGCATAAATGAGCACATGCAGGAAACATGTCATCCATTTCCAAAAAGCTTCTTCATTCATCAATCCATTCATTAAGGGAATAGTATAGAAAGTAGTACACATACCATAAGAAACGCATCATGTACAAAATAAGGAGAACATAATGAACAGTAAAAATTGAATGAGTTAATTTCAAAGACACTGAACTCTATAAACACCTTGAATGAGTAAACATGATGTGAACAGTATAGTTTGACTATTAAAAAACAATTCCTAGCTTAAAACACTTACAAAATATAAACGGCTAAAGCAGCATTGGAGCCATACCACATATGGTTTGTCCTCAAGAGCAGTCAAGCTATGATACTGTAATAAAATAATCACTTGCATAATCTATAGCCTATTAGGGCATACCCTGAAACTTAACTGTTCTTCTATGACAGTATGTATACAACAAAAGTTAAAATGTCCTGGAAACTGTCCTATACGGAGCATATTTTGACCAGACCACACAATATTTTTGTTACAACAGCACTGATATATATGTGCAAACAGAAATTCACAAGGGCTGGAAGATCTTGAAACATTGATTTCATCACAACAGCAAGTGTTAACTTGTTCTTTAATAATCCCGACACTAGAGAAGAGTCGCTCACTGATTCATTTATATTTTCGTACCTGAAGTGAAAATTTTAAAAACATTCCAAACACCAAAAATTGTGACGGCTGCATTAGTAATAAAAGGCAATCATGGTACAACATACATATATATATATTATAAGGGTGCTCAATATTTCAAGCTCTGAGAACTGCAAATTAATTGAACTCAATAATGTATTTTATAGGCCTGCCAAGTGCAGCCAAGGACTACTTTACTAGTATAGTAGTCTTTGAGGCCTGCATAATTTACAAAAAAAGGTATGAACAGAAATTTTAAAACACTATTTAACAAAAGGTACATCAATATAACGCACTATTCACCATTCAGAGATACTCAATGCAAACATATAAAAAGCATAGGAGATGCAACACAAATTCTAGACTGCAAAAAAAGCAATTCTAAGAAACCAGAGAAACTGTCCAGTAGTATACAAGACTTATAAATCAGTATTCATCATAAGATCAGCATACAAACATTAGACTATACTTCATGTAGTGTAGACAAACCTGTCTGAGCAAAATTCACCCCCTTTATCTAACAAGGCAGTGTAGGCCTACATGAAGGACACGAAGAATCAAAAAGGAGAATTTTTAAAAAATCAATTAACTGCCAACAACTCATTGACTATCAAGCTTGTCATGTAGGCCTACATGATGTCGGTAACATTTGTTCATAAAAACCCCATTAAAACTAGCTAATTCTTGAAGGAAAAGGTAAGACAAATTCTATAACTGGAGTGGGGGGGGGGGGGGGGGGGGCCGGATGGGATGATAGATCGAAATCTCTGGAAGGGTATAGTAAAATCTCTCACTTTTACTCACTTGAGCCTACTCTTGTGTATTTTTACAGAGAGCCCAATCCCGAGGTATAACATGGGATCCGCTTTTTCGATCGATATCTCAGGTGTTTTTCGGTTACAAGCTACGGGAAGCAGCTAGCCAACAGTTGACTCCCTTGTTTTGTTTCGCTAAAATTTTGGTGAAGTTATGTTGTGATACTGAAACCTTTTCAGCTGTAACGGATTAAAAAGTCAGTCACCCCCCTATTGCCATAGAAGATTTTATGAAAAATTCGGTGCCAAAAAAATTGCATCCGAACACCCAGACATTGCCATATATTTCAAAATACTGAAAATAAAAACTATTTGGATAAATTAGGTCCAGTTTTCTTTTTCTGTGAGAGCTTTTCTTTCTTTGTCTTGCTGCATTAAAAAAATGATAGCTTTCACAGTCCTTTTGTGATTAACGCTTCAATGTAATACCCAAAAGTGTCGGGTTGCAATGGTTGTTGGGAGAAAATTAGCTCAGGTCAGGCTCAAGTTAAATAATATTAGTAAACAGTCAAAATGCAATTGTAAGTATTCCAAAGACTGCTGTACAGAAATTTAAAAAAAAGACAAAGGAAGCCTTGTTAAACCTCATGATACAGTGTTCTCTCACTCAACAAGTAGACAGCACAAGGACAACAAATCACTGGATGAGGAAGGCTGGCATTGCATCATGAAGAAAAAAAGGGAAATCAAAAGTTAAGGACCACACTGACTGTTTACACTTCTTTAGTTTCCCAGGCTGAATGTGGCACATATAAAAGCTTGATGCCACACCATTGAGAAATTTACTTGGATTGCAAATGATGTACTCATGTTACCAACATTTTTATTCATGCTTACTGGTACTTAAAATAAAAGGGTGGCTGGGTGTGCACACAAGGTAGTCAGTCACGTGCAGTTTAGGTCAAGAGGCATAGGGGAGACTGATACGGAGTACAGAGTACCAGAGAGCCCATGGTCATTGATATTATTAATTAATATTGCCAGAAATAAGTAATCTTTGAAAAGAGGGTGTTGCATGTCATTACATGTTGCATGGATGGTTTGGATTATCTACACAAAAAGGTTTTAGAGCACAGCTGTGACCATCAAGTCGGCCCAATGTCATGTGATCGTGAGTCAGTAAGACGGAACTCCACAAAAATTCAGCACACCTCAAAACAAAGAGAGCACGGCAGAAAGGACTGAGGGAAGGACACAGTGAGACGATATAAAACAAAGCCAGCAGATGCCTCCGATATCTCCTACTTTCTCTCAGCCCTTACAAACAGAATGTGGAAAAGAGATTTCAATGGGGGCCGGGAGTAGAGCTAGCTCTATTCAACTTTTTGCATTATAAGCTGCATGATGATATTATTAGATAGACACACAAAAGGGAAGCCTAAAATTTGTCATGATTAACAGTTTTTAGAGCTCACATTTAACTGAACTCTAGCCTGGGCAAAGGAAAGCATCATGAGATTGGCAGGCGATAAACAACTAGATCAAAGACCAGTAACTTCACTCGCAGAGGGTTCTTCCTGAAATATATAAATGCATCAATAGACATTTTGAACAGCAAGAGAGCAAGAGTGCATTTCTGTGGATAATGAATGGACAAAGCTTACACCCACTTTTTGAACTGGGTATAATATATATATTCAAAGAGAGTCTCAATGTAAAAGAGAATATATATAATGACACAGAGTGAAAACAGTCAAGACTTTCTAATGAGGCTGAAAAATTACACAGGTTAGTCAAAAATGAAACTGTTCTAAACTAAGTAGACTGTACAGTATTGGTGTTTGTATAATTTTTGTGTAAGAATATCATCTTGTCAATAACACCTTCTTCCAAACAACTTCTTTTTGCAAGAAAAGCTTCACTATCCTTTGAGAAAATGTAGGCAGCAGGCACTGACGTCGCTGGAACAGCCAGGAACTGTTGAGCCAGTTTGGCAAGGTTGGGGAACACTTTTTCATTTGCTTTCCACCATTCAAAAGGGTGAACTTCTTGTCTTCTAAGTTGCCGACTTTCAAAGTATCGTCTCAGCTCAATCATTGGCCCATTTCTGGCAGGAGAAGAAGCTACTAACAAATCATTCACTTTAGAATCAAACCTGTTCCACAGAGATTTTCTCGGACGTTCCGTTTGTTCTTGCACAACAGAGGAATCATCAGCATCATCTGACACTGACTCAAACATTTTACTCAGCATCGACGTCAGACGGCTCTCAATATTCTTTACTTTGTCTGGGTCATCAAAGGACAAATATTTGAAACGAGGATCCAGAACTGTGGCAGCACCAACAATGAAATTTGTTTCAAGAGATAAAAACAACCTGTTGATGTCTCTTAATAACACTGCAGTTAAAGGAAAGTCCTGATAATGCAGTTCTACTAAACATTCCTGCAACTGCTTCAGTATTGGAATCATAGTAGAAAGTGTTGCACCATTTTCAACACAGAGTTCATTTGCAGCTAACTGAAAAGGCTCCAATGTTTCCACTACTTTCTTCATAATGTCAACTTCACCTTCTGTGATGCAGTCACCAGCCTTCGATAAAAAACAAAGTGCTGCTGAAATTACTTCATGTTGTTCAATATAACAACGAAACATGTCCAACGTAGACATCCATCTAGCTTCTTCATCTTTCACTAACATCTTCATAGGTCCATTGCCGCCCTGTACTTGTATCTCTTTCAGCATATTGACACCATAACTGGAATACTGAAAATAAGATGCAATACCCCTCACTCGACTTGCAATGGTGACAACATCATGAGCACTTTTCAAAGCTTCTTTTACAGCTCTATCCAAAGAATGTACAAAACAAGGCACTTGTTGCATTTCTAGATTTTGGACAGCTTCTGAAATGATTGATGAACTGTCAGTCACAACAGAACAAATTTTTCCTTCTATTTCCCAGTGGGCAAAAATTTTCTGCAATTCTGCGGTTGTGTCTGCTGCAGTCATGTTATTGGTAATTTGAAAAGTACTGAGCACAAGGACTTTTTTGTCCCAGGACATGGAGAAAAAGTGAGCTGTGACCGTCACATATTGTTGCGAGCTCCATGACACCCAGCTGTCTACGGTGATTGCAACTTTGTTGGCAAGCTGAAGAGAGAGCTTCACATCCTGTTTCACAGCTTCATATGTACTGGGTAAAATTTCCTGTGACAATTTATCGTAACTGGGTAGGTCATAGTGTGGATCAAGGGACTTCACCAGGGCACGTAAGTTTTCATTTTCCACAAAAGAGCAAGGTTGAAGTTCAGATGTTATAACTTGCACAACAAGGGCATCGATGTAGGCTTTCTTTTTAAATTCAAGACTTTTCTTCGCTTTGAATGATGCACTAGCACTAGTAGAAGCATTTGAACTTGTGACATCCTTTCTTTTACCTTTTGTTTTAGTAGCTTTAGATGTCCTAGTTTTTGTCACCACAGGCTCCTGTTTCAGCACAACAGTTTCGAGGTTACTATCGTCCTCTTCACCGTCATTACTGTCATCTTCAGAGTCTTTTGGGCTTACTTTCAAAACATTACTTTGAGAACTTTTCCTTCCTCCTCCACCTCTCTCAGCTGTAAGTCTTTGTCCTTCTAAAAACTCATCAGGGTGTTTTCTTTTAAGGTGTAGCCACAACCTCGTAGTCGATTTGTCACCAGGGCCATAGCTGTATTTAAATATAGCTCCACATATGTTGCAAGAACAAGGTTGATGAGGCGATGTTGGCTTGACAAAATAACTCCATACAAAAGATAAATTTGTTCTTTGCCTTTTGGCTTTGACCGGCACACTCTCTGAGTCCGAGTCTGAAGTTGAGACGGGTCTCGTTAATTTTCTCACACGCTGAGACTCTGGAATCGGGGGAGGATCTTCATCAGCGTGAGCAGATTTGATATGATGGAGAAGGTTGGATGTTGAACCTCCAATATCCCTAGTGTACTCTCTACCACACAGAATACATGACACTAAGTGTTCGTTGCTGGGGTCTCGAACATGAAAATACCGCCACACAACACTTGAATAAGGTTTCGTGGTGCGGGCGCGCGTTCTAACTCGAGGCATTATAATTGGAGACAAAACCAGGCATCAGATTGATGATCTAAAATGTAGAGATAGAAAACAACAGAGTCACGTTAACATATGGAATTTACTGCTGGCATTTTCAGTCTGTTTGCTTAACTGCTCTTTCAATTCAGAATGTCTTTCTCGAACTCAAACAGGGTTCCCTTTTGATTTTCCTGTTTCGGTGGTTCTTGTGTACACAAATGTAGGCCTAGGCCACAACGGAGGAGTGACCGAACTTGGTTTGTGAGCTCGTTCGTATCCGGTATCAACTCGACAACAGATAAGATTCACTTTTTCTTTTAGTAAGCACAGCAGTGAATATTTAATTTTCTTTTTTTTTCCCCGACAAAGCTCCTGAAAACTGGCAGGCCCAAGATGCTTTTTAATTTATTATAATCTCAAGAATTATTTTCTCCCCAAAGACCTCGCTATTATAATATTCTAGGACTACTAGGCCTTCTACGAAAACCCCAAACAAATAAAACCCGCTGCAGGCCTATGGGTAGACGAACTTCTGACTCTGACTGCCCCTGTCTTGATTTCGCTTGAGATAGGCTAGCCTTGAGCAACTGGGCACAGAGGGCCCCTGAGCAAGTGAGGAAGAGTAACGTCCCTTTTGCACTGTTGATGGGCGATGGTCGTTTGTGTTGATGTTGGTGTCCTAGCCTAGGCCTAGATTCTAGTTCTTTTTTCAGTTCAGTCAGTCTCTAAACCAGTGCCTGATTTCGAACCATGTTTCAGAAAATAATTTAAACGGTGGACGCAACCACAGTTGGCCTGCGATCGCTTTGGACTATAAACAGTTTAAAACAGAGTATCCAGGCAATCCAGAAGAAGAGAAAGAGTAAGAGACAGGTAGGTAGGTGTGTGAGGTAGATTATATCTAGAAATCTAGATTTGTCTTGACGAAGTATTATTTTAGAGTAGATTTTAGGCCTGGCCAAGGTCGGCCACCTCTCGCCTCTCTAGATTTTAGATCTAGAAGTCTAGATCTAGATTTTATTCCGGGATAAAAATAGCCCAGTTGAAGGGGGTGAGAAGGCAAATCTTCGGTAAATTTTTACTTTCACTCCCGCACACAGATGCACTGTTTCAGGGGTTTAACTGCTGTACTGTTTGCTGCAGATCACTCATAAAGCCACTAAAACTGTCGCAAATCAATTATTTTCAAGACAATTTCAAATCTAACTGTAAAATATCAAATTATGGGTAAAAACAGGGCTGTAACCGTACTGTAACCCCTCAGATTTTCTTTTTACCCCAAGTGGGTCAGGCCCCCCTGGAACCCCCCGATTGGTCCAAGGCATACATATATCTCGGTTAAAAACAATCAAATATTTCAAAAACTATTAATTTGCGACGGAAATGAAGTTGATATTCGTGTTCAGCGCATCAATATTTTAGTAGACAATAGACAACTGGCAGCTGAGTGTGAGACGAGAGGGAAAGTAAAAAAATACCAAATCTTCTGGCTATTCTCACTCGATGTGTGTTCACCGCTTAGTGACTTAGCTTCTAAGTGCATCGATGGGCCGATCATTCAGGGTAACACAAAACAAAACGGATAGCCAGAGAATGACGACTAAACACCATGGGCCGATATTTTTCTAGAATCTAGATTAGTATCAGCCACCTTGTTTGTTGTCATTGAGGATTCCCACTTTGTCCGTCATGGTGGCAACACGACGGCACAAGTTACAACAGCGGCAGCGTGCTGACTCAGATTATTTTCTGTGCAACCTGCAGAACAATTTGGTTCGGTTGTCAGTGATTATGCAGCTCCCTTTGGGGATCTTGTAGTTCCGTTCATTAAAGTCCACGATCCTTTTTTGTTTCGATGTGACTATTCGGACTCGAATCCGAATATGAAAAAATGTTTAAATTCGGACTCTGATTTTTGTCCAGCATGACATCACTTCCGACTTCCTGTGACTCGTGACTCCGGCTTCCTGTCCTGCCTCACTAGTGACTCGCCTCAGGCTGGGGGTAGAGACCGGGATCAATTCGGGCAACATGGCGTTTTGTGCAGGAGCCGAGTTTTTATCTTATGATGAATTTGAGGCCGGCCTGAAAAGTAATAGCACTTTTAATAAATGTTTATTTATCAAGAGGTCATCAGAAGCAATTAAAGATGGCTCGTTACCGTGTGTCGGGGTCGGATGGGCGGCCTGCACATTTGTGGCTGTGTGTGTGTCGGGGAGGTGGGGGGGCACTATCGGTCCGGGCGTTGAATGTCGCATACGCGTCAGTCTTTTTTCCCCCGGTAACTGATCAATATTACAATAATAAGCTAGTCTTGACGGAGATCTACTTAATGAATTGTGCGCTGGTTTATGGAATCAAAAGTTGCCGTATGCTCAGCTCTACACAGCAGCACAACTTTTTCTTGGTAAACAATCGAGATGACACAGGTTTGTGTATTTGAACGAATCGGTCTTTTTTTTTTTTACACACAGCTCATAATATGCAGGTGCCAGGTGGTCTGCTAATCTTCCAGTGGGAAACGTGGGGGGGGGGGGCGTATCAATGAGGCGGCGGGCATCGGATCTGCAGAAAAGGTGTGAAGGAAACTAAAAAATGGCGGAAAATTGGAAGCACTGAACGTTAGATATATATATATATATAGAACGAAGACACTTCCTTTTTTCCGGACCGGAGTCCGAATAACATTTTTTCATATTCGGACTCGAGTCCGAATTAATTTTTTTTATTCGGACTTGATTCCGAATATGAAAAAATGTTATTCGGACTCGTGTCCAAATAAAGACGGCCTTTTTGTTTACATTCTCAGAGTAAGAAATCGGGAAGTCTAGATGACCAATAGGCAACACAAAGAACAGGGATGCTACCTAACTGCAAAACATCATGGTAAAATTCAAGAACCCCCCTGAACCCCCCTCCACCCCTAACCCCCCCCCCCCCCCCCCTCCATATTATTATTAGCTCCCCCCTGAAACCCCCCTACTTTTGACTTCCAGTCACACTTTTAGTTTACTCCTCAACGATTACCTGGAAATTCAGGGTCTCTGGAGTTCAGCTTTGGACTTAAACGAACGAAACTACAAAATCACCCACCTTTCTTTTGCCCAGATTGATTCTGCTGTACACTACGTAAACTGAGAAGAAGAAGAAGAAAAAGACTAAAGAGTAGGCCTATACCGAAAGCAAGTTCAAAACAAAGTTCAATGATGTAGTGCCAATGATCGACCGTTTCGTTCCGGTTCGTTTCTTTCAAAATTTTGTAAGCAAGCACCAGAAATTTTAAAACACTTGAGATTGACAAAAGATTGGACTCAGTAGGACGCTAATCTGCTAAGGGAGTAGATCTAATTGAGACTCAGGGTTTGCAAAAATGGATACTGTGAGGTGCAAAAGCAGCGTCCTAGGGGGAACCACGAGGAAAGACTCAAAGGGGGAAGCTTGGAAACTTTGCCAGTGCAAACCGCACGCTACACAAAATCATCGCGGCGGGCATGCCCCTTGCGAGGTCAGACAAGATGGCTGTTAAAAATATCGGCCAGTGGCGTTTAGTTGTCATTCTCTAGATATCCGCTTACACTTGTCCGTGTGAGAGGGCAAGCCTTTTGGCTATTTCTCACCTGGTGTACGTTCACCATGATACCAGTGTAAACAAACGTTCCAACGCTCTTGTGTTGAAAGCGTGCAATTTTGTCTGGGGGCAGTGAGAGAGAGAGTCCTGCTCTTGCATCACTTTTTACTTTGTTTTTGTCAATTATTTGATCATCAACACTGATAGACTCTAAAATTGTCTCCTTTCACCTCCTTTCCTACTCTCTAGCAATCAGCAATGTTCTGTCATCTGCTTTCGTCTCCTCTTTCTGCCTCCATCCCCTCACCTCCTTTGCCCCCTCCGCTGGGCTCCTAAGAACTCTTTCTGCAGCCTTTTTACTGCTACTCCTTGGCTCCTTCTTACTGCTGTCTTTCAGCCACACACCCTGATCTTCTGGTAGGATCTACACTAGCCTTCTCGGGCAAGGGCGAAAAATCTCAGAGGGCCCGTGTGCAAGTTGCACACGCTAAAGATCAAGGTGGTCTAAAATCGGTAAAGGTAGGCTTTGGCCGCCACCCGGGCAAAATTCAAAATTTCCTTCCATCTGAAAAAAAAAAAGTTTAATGTGTCCCGCATGCTCACAGTTGCGAACACATAAAACACTTGCCAAAAAAAAAAAGAAAAAAAAGACAGTTATTATATTCAGAAATTAAGAAACATCTGTCTTGTTTCACATTGGGTTAGAATAGAGCTATATTAATGCTGGCAAGTCTCACCCGGGGTGATAGGTCGATCGTATTTTTATTCTCAGCCGGGGTGACAATAGCCACTTCCTTTTAGACTCAGTTTGTTTAGTCAATGAATGGTAGTGTCGTCAGTGTACTATCTTTGGCCTGCCGAGTCTGGTCATTAATATTCATCGTCATAGTATAGAGATCAAATCGTATTGTTGATTCTAATTAAGTGCCGGCACTTGCCGTGACAAGGTCCACTGAGCAAACTATACAAGAGTTAGGGTTTGGATATATATACACCCCGCTTAAAATATCCCCTCTTTTGACACTTTTACTTTTTAGTGTGTTGTTGGTCAGCCGGCTCTCTGCGGAACTCCTTCCTAATAAAATAAAGGTTTAACAGTCAGGCAAAAGGTGTAAAAGGTGTTGACGCAAACACAAGACATTATTCATCTTGAGCCCATCTCTTCTAGGCCTGAAGTCTTCTATCATGACTCAGCTTTAGATCAGTGCGGTGTATGCCTTTAATTTTTATGCCGTGGCTACGTTCACGGCACCCTGAATTTGTAGTTTGCAGGTGCTGTTGAGGCAGGTATTTATAATCATTGGTTGAGGCTACGTTCACTGCTCTCAATCAAGCTTCGTTTAGGCGGAGCGTCCACTGCTAGTTTTTAAAGTCAACCGGTTTTTGTCAGTCAACAGGCTTAAAATTAAAAGACAAGACTACGCGATTTATAAAATAAATTCTGGTGTTGTAGAGAGTGCAAAAACTTGAGGGAAAATATCTAATTAGGTATGCAATACTGAGCGAAAATGACGCTCAGCGGATGATACCGGCAATAATGAGGAGAATTAACTCCCTTGTATTTTTGCTTCCCGTTCCAGTAAACGTAAACAATGTCATATGTCTACAAATTGTTGTCCTTAATCTTTAATGTGAACACATTGGATAAGCGAATAAATAAAAAATAAGTATAAATTACTGGGGTTAAAGTTACTAAAGTTTGGCATCAAATCGGCTTCTGAGCGTTTTTCAGACCCAAAATCGTGGAATCTCCACCACCCATGCGTTTTCAAAAGGTTGATGCTCGGCTGGCACCAAATGGATTACAATGTAGTTAAGTCAATTTAAAGTACTTATTTATGTTTCTTTCAATTCATTTTAAGAGGGCTGATTTAACTCTAAAGGCATAAAAATCGTTATCAAAAGCTTTGAAACCGTCTTGATCAATGCTATATATATTATATTGGTAGTAAAACTGTTTTATAGAGGGAGTGGGAACAGAAAGAAATAATGAGATAAAGAGAGAGGGGGGGGGAGCAGCAGCAGCAGTATTTGGATCAGTGCAACAGAAGCAGTTTCCCTCAAGTCGATCAAGTTATCTTGCATTTGCGTGTTGGATTGTGTTTTGAAATTTTTTGTTTTTGCTCCTTTTATTAAGAAGTTTTTTTTTGGGGGGGGGCGGGGTTGCAAATATCGTGCCCTCCTTGTAAGTTTACCTCTATGGATGCTATCTTGCTTGTTAGAATTATGCATTTGTAAAAATGTGTTAAGATTAGAGGACTATGTCCAACTTTTTGGTTAGAATTAAAATATTATTAAGATGGTTATTTTGAAAACAGAAAAGATGGATGCAGTGATGTTTAGTCTGCTCATCTTAATTTTACGTAACATACCTTTGCTTTCTCTTTAATTTGACGGTTTTATAATGTGTATCTAGATCTATCTATCAATGGTAGGTGATTTTTTGTGCAAATTGACATGTTATCATATTTGCCTGTTTTTTGGATGTTATGGGTATAATATTGAAGACCCAGGAGATACATACTTTCACATTTGTTCTGATTACTTTTAATGCAAAAGAGATTTTCTTTCTCTTTAATTTACTGTATGTGTTCATCTTTTTCTTTTTTTTTTTTTTTTTTCTCCTTCTCCTCATTATCAATATTTGTATTATGATAATCATTAGCATTATTTATTTATTTATTTATTTATTATTTAATTGATGGGGTTTTGTTTTTTTCTTAATTATCATTAATACTGCCCTTAATCCATAAACGTGTTATCGATAAAAATAGACGTTAACATAAATGATGACACTATGAGGGGGGGAGGGAGTGGGGGGAGGGGGGGGGAGACAAGTACAGCGAATTATAGGCGATTTCCAGATTGAGAACCAGGGATATGGGGTACATAGAAGCGGAACCAATAAATTGGCAAAAAGATATTATTAATCCGAATACAGGAAAAAGAGGCTAAAACAGCACCTGGACATGGATGGCTGGTGCCTCTATAAATATATCATTGATGGTCTGGTCTGGTAGCAGTGGATTTACATAGATGGAAAGGATGATAACTCTTTCAGATTATAATTGTGCTCCCATATGGAAATGTTCTTCCTAAATCTAAGTTTGCAAAGTTTATTTTGCCTAAAGAGTCGAATTTTTATATGATTTATATTGTATGTTTTCTTTATCATTTCAGGAAGTCCTGACGCATTGCTGCTAGATAGCCTGTGTTTATCGTGGCATCATGAAATCTTGCATCCCTGCTAAAGAAAAGGAGGAAGAGGAAATGAACCAAGAGGTTCCCCCCAACTTTATTCCCTCCCGTCAGCCGTCGTCTATCCTCCCGAACTCCTCCCAGCCTCTGTCAACGAGACAAGGGGAATCATCAACCATATCTTGGCAGCCCACGTCTGCTCCGCGCCGAGTATCCCCACCACCACCGAATCCACCATTGCCCAGTTCTAAGTTGAGTGAACAGCACAACTGGCAGGCTTCTGTGGGGTCCTGCAGGGAGCGTAATTCCGTGATGTATAACAACAGTCTCATGGCTGATGTCTACTTTACAGTGGGAACTGGGCCCGGCCAAAAACGTATACCTGCTCATAAGTACATTCTTGCTAGTGGCAGCTCCGTGTTCTATGCCATGCTCTATGGAGGCCTTGCTCAAGAGGTGAAAGTCATGGAGATTGCAATTCCGGATGTTGAGCCTGCTGCATTTCTCAATTTGCTCAGGTATGTGTACACTTGTAGTAAGTTGTAGGGGAGTTCTCAGAATTTTCCCTGGATTAAGGTTTTTATTTCATGGCAGCTTAAAATGCCCTGAAAGTTCTTTTGTTCCCGTTTTGTTTGTATTATTTTGCAGTATTACAGCTCAGGGATTTGCATGTCACCTAACAATCGCTGGAATAGTTTATACGGGTTAAATTTTTATGATTCTGTCTTGTCTTCTTTTTTTTTAACCATATAAGCCTGATCTGCGACCTTTTACCCCTCACGCAAATTCTCAGACCAAAAACTGTAAATACCAGGACAAAAAATGCAGGAGGTCTGTCAATTTCAGACCTCCATTTTGAAATTTGTGTAAAAATTGATGAGGTACCACATTCCTTGCTGGATTTTGGAGTTCTTGACAGTCAGAGATGGCTATACTTGGCTGTTGGTTATGCTGTTTTATTTGACTAATTTTAGAGCTTGGTTTAGTAATAAACATTAGGGAATCTGACTCAAAAATATAAAGAATAATTTTTGGTTTGATGTTTTAAATGTGAAAGAGCCGTGAGTTTGAAAAATTCTTAAGGACTTGATGAACAATGATACGAAATGATACACCATACAACATGTGTTTAACCAAAAAGTATGCATTCTGACGTACTGTTTTCTATTTTGTCAAATATTTCTTCTATAAAAATCAACTGGAAAATCTACTTTATGGCAATTACTTATTAAAACATTTACTTTTAATTATAAAATTTTTTTGGGGGGGAACATAGCCTTTTTCCTCTCCGGCGTAGCATAAATGAGGGCCCTCCAAGGGGTACTTGTTCTGTAAAGCCTGGAATTTTTAGAGCTTAGAAGCGGAAGTAGGGCTGAACCTATGTCACTCACTTCCATATTTTTAGTTTGTTTGTCTTGCAGGGGACTGGTAGTTGCTGGTGGTTGGGAAGTTCTTTTTTTTTTTCCCTTTTTTGTGTGTTTTTCCATGATTTTCTCTGGCTTAAAAAAGCATTATTTATTAATTCATATTATATATGTTTGCTGTTTTTTTCTTTCTAATCAAGCAGCTAACTGTATGTGTTTTTACTTGACAGGTACCTTTACTGTGACGAGATCTGGGTTGAAGCGGACACAGTCCTGGCCACCCTGTACACTGCCAAGAAGTACATTGTGCCACGTTTAGCCTCCGCCTGTGTCCGATATCTTGAGACGAGCCTGAGTGCCAGAAATGCCTGCGTCCTTCTCAGCCAAGGCAGGCTGTTTGAGGAGGTAAACCTGATGTTTTGTTTTTACCCTTTTTCTTTTGAATGCGAACATTGTTACAATGAAGAGAAACGTGATAACAAGTTAATTATCACATTTTATAATGCTTAAACAGTGAAGTTTGTAAAGAGAAGATCAATGATGTTTGGGCTACTGTGTTTTTATCTTGGTTGGCATAGGGTTAATTAGTACAATCTGTTGACAGGCAAGAGTTATTTACTTTGTGAAAAGCATAACCTAAATTCACTGTTGAGATTCTCATACTCTGTCTTTTTGGGCCTCGCACCTTGGAAATTTGCTATGGTTACTTTGAAGATTAATTGGTTGTTCTATTTTTTTCCTGCCTTTTTTTCTTTCACTCCCGGTGTTTGTTATTATTATTATCTCATGTTGGTGTCTTTGTATTGATTACAGGTGGTGGGTGGTTGGCGGGTGCTCTGGTGTGGTTTGCTTCTTCTTTCCTATCAGACATCTATCGTCCTTATCTCCCCTTCTTCTTTTTTATGTTTGTTACTCTCTTGTAACACCTCTAATCTTCTGGCACTCATATGATCTTATGCAGTTGCGAGCGCCGTAAAACCTCTACTAAAACTAAAACTGATTACAGGTGGAGCTGATGCAGCGATGCTGGGAGGTCATTGATGCTCAGGCTGAGGAATGTTTGAGGTCTGAGGGTTTCACTGACATTGATCGCCGGACACTTGAAACCATTCTGAGTCGTGAGACACTGAACACACGAGAGTTATGTGTCTTCTGGGCGGTGTGCCGCTGGGCCAAGGCGGAGTGTGCAAGACAGGAGCAGCAGCCTACAGCAGAGAACCAGAGGGCAGCACTGGGCAGTTGTCTACACCTTGTTCGATTTCCAGCAATGACACTGGAAGAGTTTGCTAATGGCCCTGCCCAGTCAGAAGTGCTCACTCTTCAGGAGTGCCACGACCTGTTCCTTTACTTCACCGCCCGACAGTGGCCCAAACTGCCATTCTGCAAAGTCTCCCGGAAGGGTCTGTCCCAGTTTCGGGTTCACCGATTTCAGTCGTCTGCGTACCGCAGCAACCAGTGGCGCTACAGGGGGCGCTGTGACAGCATCCAGTTCTCGGTTGATCGGAGGATTTTTGTGGCAGGTTTTGGCTTGTACGGCTCCAGCAATGCTGCATCTGAGTACAAGGCAAAGATTGAGTTGAAGCGAAACGGTACTGTGGAGGGACAGACCGTGACCAAGTTCCGTTCCGATGGCTCCAGCAACACCTTTCCTGTGTTGTTCGAGAGTCCTGTGCAAGTTGAGGCAGACACTTTCTACACTGCCAGTGTGGTGTTAGATGGACCTGAACTCAGTTTCTTTGGCCAGGAGGGTGTTGCAGAGTTACAGTGTGGCAAGGTCACGTTTCAATTCCAGTGTTCATCAGAGAGCACAAATGGCACAGGGGTGCAGGGAGGTCAGATACCAGAGCTCATATTTTACGCTTGAATGATTGAGGCTCTCTAGTATTATACGATATCAATCGCAAGGCTTCTAGAAGTGTAATGTAGATTCTGTAGAAGTTGTAGATTATTTGACACTTGACAATCATGAACTGGATATATGATCTTGACAATGTCACTGTATGATGCCCCTTAACCCCATTTTGCCCCTCAAATACAGGGTACCACATTTCTCAAGATTGTATGCTCTGAATTAACTCTTTGATTACTGGGACTTATTATTATGACTAGGATGAAAAACTACAAAGGGGCAACACAATAAACAGATTACACAGCTCTACTGACACAAAGTATGGAAAAAAATTTTCAACAGTTCTGCACCATGTTTGAGAAAGTTCAGTTGTAGTCTACTGCCAATATATGGCCTATTCAGCTCTTACGCAATTTGACTTTTCATGACTTTTATGCCGCTTTGTAAAGAGAGAGAATGCTTAGGATTACATGTCTGGAAACTTGAATCTATTGGGAAAATCAGAACTTGTCTGTGATTGACTCAAAATTTGACCTTTATGGAGTGATTGACAGGATATCAAAGTATGAAGTACTCAGAGACCTAATTTGAAAATGACGGGTTTTTTTATACTTTGCATTTAGAGTTTGTTAAGTTTGCATTTAGTAATTGTGACATACGTGGTCCTGTTTGTGGTCATATGTAAGCGTCCACCCCAGTTTTGTATATTTGCAGGTGTTTAAGATATATATTTATATATATATGTATATAAATTAATTGAAAGTTAAATGACAGGGTTGTAACAGGAAAGGTGTTACTTTTGCCTGCCAAAATGAGTCTTTCATCTATCGATTGATAGATGTCTCATGTATAAATACTAGCCAAAATATCTTTGTACAAGAAGATTTTTGTAAGTTCTGTATAGTATACAGTGCAGCCTCTCTATAACAACCTTTGAATAATGACATCCTCTGTATAGCGACATGGTACCCAGGTCCCGATTTTTTCCTTTTATATATCATTAGTAGTTCTTGGTTGCCTCTCTATAATGACAGCTCTCTATAACGACATTTTTTTCTGATCCCGACGATCTCGTTCCGTTATAATGAGGTTGCACTGTAACTGTCTTGAGACATTTATACACTTAGCAATGCATACAGTAAAACTTTGGTATCATGCACTTTGGCTACAGCATATTTTTTGGTACTAAAACTGAGTAAAGACTATCCTGTCCAAGGATATCTTAAATATCAAAACCACTGATGAGCTAGTTGGTACCACGTCTGTAGTGGGCATGTTTTGTAATCTGGTGCGGATGTGTTTCTGTGGCTTCATTGTACTTTCACTGAAAATCAGCTCTTGTTTTTGTGAAACGTTTGTAAAAAAAACACTTTTGGATCAGCTGTTGTTGTTGTTGGTGCTGGTCCTCTGAAAAACAACCTTTTTTCCTTTAATCAAGTGCCATGCGATATGACTAACGGGTGTCAGTAGTGTGATGGTAAGCCTTTTTGCCTTCGGACGCAGAAGACATAAGTTTGATTCCCAAGTGAGGATGGGTTTTTTTTTGTCATAGTCTCTGATCTTGAAGGGAGAAAAGTTTGTTCTGATTTCATTGAGAGGTAGACATTGCGGTGAGGTCCCAATTTCAATCATTTTGTGCAAGGTTTTCTAGAAGATAAAATGCTGTTTTTGTTAACCAAAGATTGTGCTAGGGCTTTTTTGGATGTAGTCATTGTTTTCTTTGATGGTCATGTGTGTACTTGAAACTGTTGTACATGTCCAATCCAATTGTGTCTACTAAGTCTGATTGTTGGCTGTGGTGACTTGTGAAAAGTTCATGAGCTCTCTTGCTCTTCCTGGATAGGTGGACACTCCAAGTAACACCCATGATTTGACAAGAGCACATGGATATCTTAACTTTTAAAGATTTTCTATTGGGAATTGTTAGGAAGGGGTTGTGGTTGAACTTGAAACAACGCAGGGGGAGTGGGATGATTGCGAAAAGAAAATTTAAGTTCTGGAATGTTGGTTACTTTTCATATTTTACCCTCTCCTGATTTCACATTTGCCCTCAAGTGAGACTGAGATGCAGTCTCGTGCACACTTATTAGCAAAATAGGCATTGCTGGCAATCATAAACAAAGTTGGACAAATGGGTCAAAATTTTACAAGAATGGTGCCTCCTATGCTGCACTACCATTTGTGTTGGATTCAAATTCACAGTCACTGATTTTTACAGATTTCTATTTTTAATTTATTTAAATTTATTTTTTTACATCGAATTTTTTATCCACTTCTTCTAGGGGCAGTCGTTTTTCTTCAACTGGGAAGCCTGTCCCCTTCTTTCGCTTTGCCATGGTCCACTTTGGAATGTTTAACTTCTCCTGAATCATCTCATCGACCTTTACAGAATGCCAGAAGGCTTTTGGGCTGTGTGTACATTGTTATTTACATTATGCCGAAGAGTAAGACACTACTGGATACATGTCTTCATGCAACTGAAATGTGCCGGCTAGTTCTACTTCTACCACTGAATACCTCTGTGACGTATGCAATAAACACGTCCTTGGCTTACACCTTTGGCCTCAGATTAGGTCGTTGACCTATATCATATCATGCCCCCTCTCTCTCTCTCTCTCTCTCTCTCTCTCTCTCTCTCTCTCTCTCTCTCTCTCTCTCTCTCTCTCTCTCTCTCTCTCTCCCTCCCTCCCTCCCTCCCTCCCTCCCTCATCATTGCTACTTTGAAAAATGAAATTTGGTGTTATGTTTAATTTGATCTACCCTTGCTGACGCTAATTTTTCTTAGGCTGTTTATGAATTGTTTACACTCTATGTGTGTTTTGAATACAAAATATAATGTTAAGAATAAATTCGGGACCTGTAAAATCTGATAGAGTTAGGTGCATTTTTTACTATGTTCCTGTATAATTATGTATTCCCCCTTCTGGTGATTGAATGCTCTAATCTACGCATTCATGAAGGCACAAGTCTGGATTTTTGGGTGAATAAATTGTGAGTATTTCTATGGGAAATTGGAGTATGTATAGATGATCTCAAAAGAACATAAGGCAGGGAGGTGTCAGGATATATATATATATATATATATATATATATATATATATATATATATACAATAAAATTATACTACACACGAGTGCAGTGAAAATGTCTTTGTTTTGAACTGTACTGGTACAAGTTCTGTCTAAACTTAGTTCTCCTTCAATCTAAAAAAGTTGGCTCCTACGACACTGTATGAATTCGTGTACCTCGATACAGATTCAGGATATTTTGCTGCTTGCTGTTAAACAGTTGTTTTGCTTTTGTACTCATTCATGGGCGTTCAATGTTGGATTTTTCTGTGAATATTTTTCCCCAGTTGAAAAGAGTTTGTAATTTATTGTACATGCATGGTAAAAGTATTAAAAGGAAAGTATTCTGTGTGTTTTTATGTGCAATAAAATGAAACATTAGTGCATTCATACATATTCATCCTTTGTTTGTTTAATTTATGAGTTGTGATTTGTTTACTTTGCCTTATAATGCACAAATCGAATCTGGGGTAGATCTAGACGCATTTGTGTGCTTGTCTTTCTGGCGGTTTTTTGGTTTGTTTTGTTTTGTTTAATGTTTGTTTTTCTTTTAATTTTTTTTTCACCCGGGGTTGTCCCTCTGAAACTAAAATGAAAGTGTCTTGATATCAGTTGTTTCCCCATTGACATAATTTTCTCAAATCAATACCGGTACATATTTTGACAAAATATCAGCGGTCCCATGTCCACACAAAGAGAGACACTGCTATCACTGATGTGTCTGCAAGGCATGGATTGTTAGTTACATGGTTATTACCTTCTGGGAAAATTAACTCCATCCAAGTAGTAGCCTGCCCCAAAACAAGATGACCTCTCATTTTTGCTGTTTTCAAAGTTTGCTCAGATAATACAGCTCTAGTCTATAATCCTTTTATATTATAAAACGATGGGTTTTTGGTATGTTTGTTTGGGTCTTGTTTCATTATTTGGATTTTTTTTTTGGGGGGG